CAAAGATGATGGGAGATCTTAATTTCAATATTGATGCAATAATTTGAAATTAGATGAAGTATACAGGGCTTTTCATGATGAGCGTTAATTAGCCGTTTCTGACAAACTATTTAACGGATCAACCTGAAAATTTCACAGTATGCATAAATCAATATGACCTACACGCCTAAAATATTTCAGACGAAGCGGCGTTGTCGCTTCTACTATAACGTAGCGGCTTCTTTGATTTTTCAAATGGAACACCCCATATATAATATCATATTATGATTCATTATTACTTTGTCAACAAATTCATATATTATTTCCCTATACCTATCTATTACCGTTCAGAAGATATAAATTAATTTCGATATTTTTTTTACCAAACATGAAGTTTTATAAATGCTGATAATCTTGAACTCTCTTGCACTAAAACGATCAAATTTGAAATTATGTTTGTTTAAGTAGAGGTGGAGATGTGTTTGAACATATTCTGAAATACAATGACGATTAAATTAACTCATTAATTTATGGGTTTATTATTTTCAGTTCGTGTTTCAGCGTTAATAAAACTATTGTTTGAAGAGAAGTTTCATTCGATGGTTGAGGAGTATTTTAATAAGTACCTTTTCATTGTATTATCTGTGACTAATTGAGAAACATCAAAAGAAATCTGTTTTACAAAAATGAGTGATGAACAAGGAAACCATGTCAATTTCCGTTTGAAACAGTTTATCTCGAAAACGGTTCAAAATAGAAATATGATATCGATACAAAGTTAATCTAAAATTGGATGTAGAGCTCAAAAATGTTGAAATATACAGGGTGTTCCATTTAAAAAAAAATGAGTTCCAGTCATTTTTTCATGAGATCGAAGTATCTGCATTTTTTGAAGACCCTGTATGAGGCAAATGAAAATATGACTCGGAGTGAAGATCCTCATCATGAAAAGCCCTGCATGGACATTCTCTATCAGTCACAGAAGATCTCTTTACGTTTCGATTTGAATTAGTAGAATTTGAAAAAAGTGTGAGCATTTGGAAAAATATATCAAATCAATGCAATCCGATTTGAAAAAAAAACCCTTACAAGCATTCAAAAAAATTGAGCTTAAATAATCGTGAGTGATGACCAATTTCATCTATGAGATTGTGGGATTGTGCTTCAATAGCCAACAATTGCAACAGAGGCAGCAGTTGACTCAGCATAATGTATTTGGTGAAGAATATGATCATAAGCAACGCAATTGACAAAGACAAAAGGTCGAATCATTCCACGTGCATCCGCCAAACGATCAAGATATAGGAAGAGCGCCAATAGCTTAAACTTTCTCAAATCTATAGATTTGAAGCTGCAATATGAACACAAGTTGTAATATAGCTGCCATCACCGCGAGTGATACACTGGAGGTACTCGAGGAGCCCATGTTCGACCATCTCCTAATTAGTCTCCATGAACATATGTATAAGCCATATGGTTCATCATATTATAAGAATTCGAACGAAATCGGAATCTATTATTCGATGAAATTTGATGTGAAATGGGTGGCGAGCAAGTGGTTGTTGTTCGAAAACCTAGTATAACCACCAAATTCATTACTTCCTTGAGAATAATAAGCAAGATATGTTGGATCTTGTCAGCCATGTATTAAGCGTTAAATTAACTTTCTTTTTTTCTTTCTTAAGTATCTCATGGGTTTTGCTGAAGATTACAACGAAGAAATATTGAATGTAAGCGAAAGACTCCTAAAAACTGAAACTCTTGAACCGCATCAATAAAAAAGTAACAATGCCAAAGTGAAGGTGGCTTATCGCATGCGGATTCTTTATGATTTACCATCACTTTGTGATGTAACCTAAATACATTATGATCGGCCTCCAAAACACAGACCAATCTGAAAGTATGACAAAGAATATGACAAAATTCATAAATGTGAGTATTATTAACATTCATCTATCTTTGAACTCTAAAGTATACCCAATATCCATATGAGCGCTGGAATGTGGATTTCGACAAGAAATTAGACTCACCAGCCTATTATGCATATCAAAATTTTCAACGCAGCTACTACGATAGAGCTGTGAGTGAACCAATGATAGATATTGGCAGCTTTCGCAATAACCTACTATTCATTATCGACTACTCCCACCAACCCGATACTATGAAGACATCCATTGTCGATACCAAAATAGAGTTAGGAACACGTAATGCCAAGTTTCCGGCACACACCAGAGTATATGTATTCATCCTTCACAATGCGTTTTTGTCTTATAATGCTCTTGGAAAAAACACCTCCTGCAACCCCTTTCATTATTTAGATTAAAAAATTAGTTCTGTATGAAACGAAAGTAATCGACGTATATGGTTTTCGATTTTGTCGCGGAAAATAACACCCTGTGCAACCCTTTATATTATTTAGATTGAAAAAATCATATCTACAGAAAAAATAGTGCTGCTGGCGATACTTTGCATAGAACAATAATATTCAAGTTTGATTTGAAAGGGGTATATTTTTAGGATAGAATAATTTGTGCTTGAAGATGGAGGTAAAAAGACAAAACCATTCTTTCCTAAAAATTAATCTATCCAAAAAATATACCCCTTTCAATTCAATCGTGGCTGGGATTTATTCAAATTAATTACGTACAGTCATCGATGACATGAGTAGATTGACATAAAGTCGTAATTTTATGAATGGAGTGTTTTTTAAACTGTTATTGGTTGCAGGGGATGAATTTCTCCGCGACAAAATCGAGGACCGTATAGGTTTTATAAAATACGCCGTATACTTTCGTTTCATGTGAAAATATCCTCAGCCGCACCTTTTTTTTCAGAAGATAATAATAATAATAATAATAATCGTCTTTATTGTTACCCAGCTATAGTTACATACAAATATTTAAATAAATTAGAGAGCTAGTTGCTGACATAACAAAAGGCGAAGTTCAACTTAGTTAGCACAAGTGCTACTGAGATGTTTTTAATCGAAATAATATGAAGGGGTGCAGGAGATGCAATTTTCCGCGACAAAATCGAGGTATTATAGAACACATTGAAAAATATTGTTTCATGTGAAAATATCACCAGCAACACTATTTTTCCAGAAGATATGATTTTTCCAATCAATATAATATGGGTTGCGGAGGTTGGAGTTTTTTCTGCGACAAAATATAGGACATTTTGAATACTATTGTTTCATACATATTTCTTCAATCATATTTGATCGAATTGATATCAATTTCACGTAATGAAATTTTATAAGAAATTAAAACTGTATCTGTGGAAAGACGGTACAATAATATCTATTATTTTATTCGGGGCTATAGGTGAAATTCAATTTGTCTTTACTAAATTTGGAACTGACAACAAAAATCCCTAAATACAAATTTTCATAGCTAGCCATGAAATGAATGTTCTAAAAGACAAATTTTCACGGCTAGCCATGAATTTTAACGACTAATGGTGGTTTATCGCACTCCTCTCCGTTAGTGGTTTTCTCTAATTTATGGCCGAAACGCACAGCTGTCTTGAAAATGGTAATTTCAAATAATACATTCCGAATATAGTGATATTAAGGCATGGAAATATAGAATACAAGCGATCGACCCGCCTCCGCACAGGTGCAATGCTGATACTAAATTAAAATTCACCCAGCGGAAATTAAAGGGCATGGAGAAACATTGATGAAAAGGTACCATTATCTTATGAATGCGCTTTTTTACCCGCGGCTTGCGCCTCAGTTGGAATATTTGAAATTCCTTTCTTATTGCAAATCTACAAAATAAAACGAACCTACATACAAAATTTCAGTCTCCAAAAATATAGCGGTATGGAGAAACAGTGATGAAAAAGTAATTTCAATATGTGAACGCGCCCCTTTCATCACTATACCTGTCCAGGTATATGCTCTAGCACACCAAACCAGCTGTGGAGTCAACATAAATACGCGTTACGCAGTCGTAATATCCAGTCATCGGATATAGTAACTCAGAATGCTGCCATTCGCGACAGCGAAACGTCAGGAAGAAATTCTAAAACTCTACAGCCTTCAAAACCGGAAAATATAGATACTGAAAACCTCAGCCGCGAAAGCCTTAACCATTTTGTCACTTCAGAAGTAATTTAGCTTCTTTTGACCCTAATTCGATTTTCCAACTTTTGTACATTTGCGGTCTATTTATACATCGACTTTTAATTTTGAATAACTTGACAAAAATCCAAGGGTGTACCATCTGGCAATTTTAAGGCCACTCAATCCATCCGCGTCTACCGATAAACCTTAGCAGTTATTTTAAACCTTCGCGAACATTGTGTGCATAGTGTGGGGGTTGCACTATTATGTTGCAAGCATATACTTTCATTTGGTAAGTTAGGAATTTTGGTGTTTGGAAAAACATCAGCATTTCTTCAAAATTGTAAGTGAGCCTTTTATGTAACATTTCTTTTGCTAAAATAAGATCCAATAATCCTGTCGTTCATTGTTCCTGCACAGTTATCAAGTTTCTGAGAGTGCCAATATTTTGCAGTTTTGTCAATTCACTGAACCATCTAGGCAAAACGTAGCCTTAGTGAAAAAGTCGTCCGCATGCTTGCTCGTACGCGCTCATGCACGTACGCACACATTCGCCATCACAATCATACGCAAGAAGCTCAAAGTTTACAACGTAACCGTCACGATTACAATGTCAGCCAACGGCGTCCATAGCGGTAACCGGTGTGACAATAATATTCATTTAAACAACTCATGCGAACTTACTCGTGTTATGTGTACTGTACTGTAACTTACTAGCAAAGTTATATTGACATTCAAGTGCATGGAATATATGCATGCAAGGTTTATTTTCCTTCGCGGAAATTGGGATAAAGCGTAGTATTGAATCAATTTGTACGTCATTGAAAACACGGTACGTCATTGAAACACGGTACGTCATTGAAAACACGGTACGTCATTGAAAACACGATAGTGTTTTCACTTATGGCTTCAATTTTCTATGGAACAAAGCTTTTTTGAAATGACTCACCTCGTCTAACGCCATTTTAATGGCTCCAGAAATCAACAATCCTTGTCTGTCCGCAAATTCACCCTTTACCGCTGCTAAATATCCCACAGTCAATTTTTTTTTCTTAAATGAAGACTCGATTAGCTCAGTCTTGAGGTTTCTCACATCTTTATAATAATTCCCATGGTAATCAGCTCCTATCATGTTATGGTACACATCTTTGTAACTGTCCGAAACGGAAATATTTTCCTTATTTTCAACTTGCGGTAAGTGATTAGAGCGAAAATTTCCCCAATTATAAAAACTGGTCGTTGAGTGGGGATGGCTGTTGAGCGGTGAAGTGTGAAGGCCAGTTGGTTGAGGTTCACGGCGGAAGCTTGTCGTAGCAGTAGTAGTAACGTCATCCTCTGTCGTGTGTGAAGTGACGGCAATGACAGTAGATGAGATACCGAGGATACTCAACAGCGCGACCAGCAGAGAAGCCAGGCCTAGGCGCATGGCCAGGCTCCTCCCTTACCGAAACTCCAGGATCACCTGCAACAACCAATAATCACAAATTACGACTTACACAAACGAAATAGAAAAATAGAAAAAAAAGAATGTTTCAATCGATCAATTGAGCGGATCTCCATAAAAACAATGATTTATTATCATAGAATTACTATTATTTTCTTTCATTTTATTTTCTTAGAGATACTTAATCTGAAATTGTTTAGTATATATCCTGCGGACGTTAATAGTTCCTTTTCCCCTTTCGAATGGGACAAGATATTAAAGTGGGGCCAAATTTTTTTTTAAAGATTTATGTTCACTACTTTTTGATAAAAAAAAACAGTAGTGACATGAGTTGCCGACGAAAAGGGAGTTTTCTGTGGCATTTTATATGAAAGGTATTTTGATTCTATATACAATGACTTTCACTTTTATGAATTCAGATAACCGGTTGCATATTTATTGGGACTCAGAATTTCGTAACTCCACCACCCTATGTCATATTTTTTTAAATGAAGGTTTTTTGGAATGATGAATAAATTAGTAACATCTTTTGCAATGGATAAGTGTTAATTTTAAGTGCATAAAACGATAGCATTTTATTTTAACCGTACTGTTTCAGGTTGTGTAACGTTAACCCGTAAAATAACAGAAATGTGCTTTTTTGTCAAATAACTAGGATTGATTTTATTCTAAATTCGGTTCATTTCCGTAAATAATTTTTTTCTCCCAACTTTGTGTAACCTGTGGTAACTAACTTCTGTTTCAATCCTCTATTGGTTACAAAGTTACGAATTATCATTTTTCTAGTCTCCAATTCATAAACCAATAACCTCGCAGCCGATTATTCAAATGTAAAACAGTGAAGGTCGTTGTTAGATCATTGAAATAATTTCTCGAGCGAAGGGTCACAAGACCCCCTTTCTATTTGAAAAAAAGTTAATTGCGCCCTTTCTGTTGTGGTTGACGTCACACCATTGGCTTTTTTTATCAAAAAGTACTAAAATGATTTCTTTCCATACAAATCTTGTGCGACTTTCATACTTTGCCTGTTTCAAAAAAAAAGGGGTGAAGACAATTTACGTCCGCATTGTATACGTAGATTCAATAATAGTATATTATGTAACGATTATGTAATGATGGTTTCACACGGTTTAGCGAGTGTATTTTTTATATTCGTAAAAATTGGGTGACACTTTGAAACTGAAAGCTTCCTTTGATCCCCGGAACTTATGAAATAGTACCTTCGTTCTCAGGGCTCCCAAAACTCCCTCTTTCAATTGGAAATCTTCAAGGTATTTCGGAAGTCCCCTGACTCGGCTAGGTCCAGGTTGGAAAATAATCTCTTCAACCTGCTGTGATATTTTCCTAGACTATTCGCTTTCTTGTTGATTCATTTGCTTATCTTCATTTGATATAATCAGCAGTTCCATCTTGACATCAAAAGAGTGCATTAAAATGACAAACGGTAAAACCTACATTTTCAGAACTCTTGGTATATCTCTTCCTAATCTGATTGACGTGTACTCTTACTAGTTTATGAGGATTCTCTAGTAATACTTCGTACATCATCTTTCCAATCTTATTATTGATCTTTCCAGCTTTCCAGTCGAGCACATTCTTGCGATGAACCTAATAAATGGTGTCCCCAACTTTGAATTTGGAATAATGGTTTCCATAATTATTGTGAAAGTATGGTTCTCGAGATGGTAGTTGAAGATCAAAGACCGTTCTAATTTTTCTACCCGTGTGTTTTTCAGCTGGCGATTTCCTGCTTGGTGTGTATCGATATGGAGTTGTTCGATATGTTAATAAGAATATTTGACTTGACTGACCTAATGTTTGTCCTTTCCTTTTAATATTCTTCAGAGCCCTCTTAAGATGTCGACGAATCGTTCAGCTTATCCATCCGATTGAGGGAAGTACGGTGTTGTTTTTAAGTGTTCAATAACACGTAAAAACAACAAAAATATTTGAATTGTTCACTGAAGAATTATTGGGTATCATTATCAGACACGAGTGTTTGTGGGTTTCTAAACTTTGATTGTGAATGAACTTCTTATATTTTTCGTGCTGAACACCTCTGGCCATTCAGAGTAGGCGTCTACAACAATGAAGAAATATTCTGCATCCAACGGACCAGCAAAGTCCATGTGAATTCGTTGCCTCGGTTTCGTTCGTACGCCTGTGGCGTAGACCAGGATAAAAAATAATTTTTAGTGGTGATCTTGCTGCCTCAGCACAGCTCGCACATTTTCGAATAAAATTTTGGATATCTGTAAAAACACGTAACTTCTTCATGTTTTCTATTCCAGGATGACCTTAGTGTAAGTATTGCAGAATGCGTTTATGAAAAGTTGTTGAAATAACAACATGTTCATCAAACATTAAACGTCAATCAAAACTTGCAGAACTTCAGTTTCGATTTTCACAAAAAAAATGATGTATTATTGTTCATCTGGGGTTCTATTAGCGTTGAAAACTCTTGACAAAATATCAACATGTCCTAAATCTTCGGTTTTTATGTATTCCATTTTGAAATCATATGTTTTTAAAATGAGGGCATATCGTTTCAGACGGTTGGCTGCGAGTAATGGTTTCTAATCGTTTTGAAACGTTACAGGGCATCCATAACATGCGTTGAATCTTCTTTGCTGCAAATTTAAGAGCTAGAGCTACTTTTTTTCTTTCTTTGACTATATTCCCGCTCCGTTTCCGTCAGAGATCTGAAAGAACGATCTAAATTGCTTTCATTGAACCATCTTCAAATTCATGAAAAATACAGGCTACAATGCCACTCTAAGTTGCATCTGCGGCTACCACAATAGGAAGCTTGAAATTGAAATGAATCAGGAGAAGGTCTGATTGAAGTATGTCCTTGAATTTGTTAATGATTTCTGACATTCTTGATTTCAATCCCATGTTGTGCTCATTTTGAGAAGTTGATCCATTGGTTTTGATATTTTATGCATATATCGTACGAATTTACCATTTTTTACTGCTTCAAGATATAAACGTAGTGTGAGAATATCATGTGATGGAGGCATATGAATTATTGATTCAATCTTGGCTGGATCGGGTTTCATCCATATTCATTGATAATATTTCCTAAATATTTTATTTCAGGATGAAAAAAGTTGCATTTCTTGTATAAAACATTTATCAGGTTTCGGTAGTGCTGATCTACATTTTTGCCTGAAATGATGATGTTATTTTTTAAACCAGATATCATCTTTTCCATAATTTGTTGAAATATTTTAGGAGCAACTTTTATTCCAAACGGAAGTCGATTGTATGTGAAAAGTCCTTTTTACTTATTGATTGAAAATTTCTTCTTGAGTTGGAAGTGGAAACTGATGAGGTTGAAGGGCATCGTTCAATACTGTTGAATAATCCCCACATATACGAATTTTTCCATCAGATTTCTTCGTGACTACAATAGGTGCTGCCCATTTGGAGTAATCAACTGGAGTAATAATATTCAGGTCCTGGTGTCTATTCAACTCTTCTTCCACTTAATGTAACAATGCATATGCTACAGGTCGTTTTGGGAGAAATACTGATTTGTTTCTTTATGATACATGTAGTTCCATCTTCCCTTTTACATAAAGTCCAACACTGTCATTGAAAATATTAGAAAATTGTTTTTGAAGTTGTTGGAAATACTATACTTTTTGCTTGGAAATATAAATGTCTGACAGTGACATGACTTTTCATATTGAATTAAGAGAAATTTCCCACATGCCAAACTTTGTTCTCAGATAATTCCTAACAAGTTGACGTTTTTCACTGGAGTTACGTAGCGCTTCTCTTAGTATTACTAATTTCTGAATACGATACCGCATTCAAACTCGGAGATCAATTCAAGTTGTTGACCATTTGCACTATGGCAATGTTTTCGGATGAACTACATTGTGGTTTTCCTAATTTGGACCACATTTCCTCTGATATGATGGTAATGTCCAATGCTGTATCTACTTGAAATTTCACTGGAATGCTATTATTAATGACATCAAGGTATTTATGTTCCATTAACAAATTTACTTGAGAAATCGAATTGCTTTGTATTTGAACCTTTTTGCTTCGTATCTTGAAGTTGCAATCCTGACATGTGTGAATACAAAAGTTACAATTTTTTGAATAATGCATTTGACCACAGTACCAGTATGGTGTTTTCAGGAAATTTCCATTCATGTGTGAACTTGATTGAGAATTTTGATTTCTCTTTGGTGATTGAAACTTAGTCTTCTACCAAACTGCAATAACGACTGATGTTGTGGATTGTTCTATCATCGCTGTATCGTTCTTAAGATTCAGTAGGTATACGTTGACATTCGGAAGTAAGATCTTGAAGAACTAAATATTCTGAATGTTTTCCATCAATTTTGAATGAAATTTTGGTTCTGACATCTGAATCATTACCAGATTAGAGACCGCATACGAAGATTAAACATTTAATTTGATCTGCAGTGATATTTCTGATATCGAAATCTTCACAAAATTTGTTGACTTTGGCATCGTACGCGACGAAATCTTCTCCTGTACTTTTGCTAAGTTCCATACAAGAATGGTAACAAGTCTTGAAAATTGATGACTTTCTTCCAAACATTCAAGTGAGTTCAGTGACTTTTGCTGAATCTGAAAGTTTCTGTGCATCTTCGGTGAATAAACTTTCATATCGTTTAAAACATGCTTCGAATGTTGAGTTTCTCTCTGGATCATAGTGGAATTCATTTATGCTGTTTCCTAGAGTTTCCATGCGGAATTCTTCACCGACGTCCCTGGTTGGAACATTTGCTAATGAAGAGTTCTGAGATAATTGTTGGAGAAATTCTTGCTGCAGCTTGTTTAGCTGATGATTCTGGAGGTGAGCTTGGACTTGTTGATTTTTTATAAATTCAAGAATATTTTTTTGGAACTGATCAGTTATAATAGTTTTCCGACTCAATTAATACTTTAATAAAATGTAAAATCTTGGTTCTTATTCAAATTCCTCGTGAAAATTGGGTGAACCACTGAGGCGGCAATAACTTTTTTAAAAAAATTCAACAACTAAATTGCCTAAAATATCAAC